ATTAACTGGATATTAAATTTATATCAGGTTATTCTTCAAGATTTGGGCTTTAAAATAAATATAAAATTATGATTTTAACCCCCATAGTTAACCTGTTATAAGCTTTTAAAGGTAACCAATAGTGGTTGCGTTTCTTTTGCTCACCACTGTAACTTGATTTAAAAAATCAAATCAGGTTAATAGATTTTCAAGTTAATGTCAGATTAGATCAAATTATTATTTAACCTAATATAATCTAAAAAATCCAAGTTGGATCAGTAAAATTATTTTAATTAAATAAGAATAAATTATTAAAAAATAATAATAATATATTATTTAATTAAAAGATAATAAATTATTAATATATTATTTTAATTAAATAATAATAAATTATTTAAATAGAACTATAATAAATTATTTAACTAAAATAATATATTATTATTAATTAGAATAATAATATTAATAATATAATATAACTTTAGTTAAATATTAATAAATCATTCTAATTGAATAGGTAATGTATCATCAACTAAAATAATGATAATTATATAAGATATATTGATTTAGTTAAATGATAATAAATCATTTAAAAGAAATGATATTTATAAAAAATAATAATATTTTTTTTGAATATTTTGTTATTATTCTTCATTTAACTAGAATAATATATTATCATTCTTTTAAATAAATCTTTCAAGAAGAATAATAATATATCATTCTAATTGAATGATAATAAATTATTAATAATATATTATTTTTTTGAATAATTCAGTATTAAATTAGAATAATATATTATTATTCTTCTTAAATGATTCTATTATTATTTTAATTAAATGATATATTAATATATTCATTATCATTTAATTAAATGATTTTACTAAATTTAAACTAAATTTTTAGATTAAATAGGTTAGATTAGATTTTTTAGAACTTTAATTATAATTATATATATAATATATTTTTATATTTATAATAATTTTTAATAACCATTTATAAATTTGTATTTAAATACAGCTGAAATAATGAAAAATTATTAAGTTTGTTAATTAATTCTAATATTTTTATAAAAGTAATTATACTTTTATCATTTTTATTATTATTACAAATTCATTTTCACTTTTATTAAAATTTAGTAAAATATATTGACAATTAAAATAATAAAGCAGAATGTCAAAAAGTATAAAACTATTAATTTCTGAAATGAAATAAGTAATAAATTATTAAGTTTATTATTAGAGAAAATACAGTCTAATTTTTCTATAAAAGCAGTAGATTAAATTTTTATTTACTTGCATATATGCATGAATACTAAGAATTAATTTTAAATTCATATTCATTTATTAATTTGAAATTAAAATTAAATATATTAATATAAAATTATTTTTAGCTATGATTTATTTTGGATGATTATGTTTATTATCATATATAAAGTATATTCTATATTTTTTAAAATTCAAATCTGTATCCTAAATAATTAAAGACTATAATGTATATAATATTATAATTTATTAATTAATTAAATATAATTTTAAGATTATCATATAATACATCAGTATATTTTTGATAAAAAAAGTTTATTAAATACAGATACATATAGTTTAGATAAATTATAATAATTAATGAATTTAAGTATTGTAAAATTTTATCTATTAACTTATTATTATATTTTTTTTTTCATTCAATTATTAATGCATCTTAATATTTTTTAATATTATATATCAACATTATTATAGTGTTACTATTCAAATCTATACTATTAATTTTTAAAGAACTATGTGACAATATGAGGATTATTAATCAATTTATGCTTAACTGCATCTTATTCAGATTTATCTATTAGATTTTCAATATGTGACTATAAAATAAATATAAAAAATACTATTTTTTGTATTTTTAATTATTTAAATTAACTATTTAAATATATCTAACAATTTAACTTATTATTTAATCTAAATTGTTAAGTTTTATATAGACTTTTATCAAAACATATTACATGTTTAATTAAGTGATATTTTTAATAATTTTTTGAACTTCTTTAATAGTAAACTGATTTTATCTAAATTTTATTTAATATAGACATTTGCTTTTTGCATTGTTCTTCATTTCATATGCAAAGTATCATTGTGTAAATCTTCTATTTTTATATTTAAGTACATGTTAGAATTGAATATAAAGTTAGAAATCTGGAATTTATTATTAGAATTACTATTAATATTTGGCAATTCAACAGGAGTAGTTTCATCTTACATTGAGCAAGAGTATTACTAATGGCATTATCTTCACAATAAGATAGAAGAGAAGCAGAAACAAAAGCTTTGTGTAATTATATCTTCTATTTCATTTTCTTTATCATTTAATGCTTATTCTTTATATTTTGAATCTGTAAAAGACAATTATCAATAGGATTATTATCGGGTAAAGATTGTAATTCTACATTATCAATATCAATATTAACATAAAACTGGTGGTTTTCTTTTAACAAACAAGTGCTCATGCATGATGGGTATTAAAATCTCTGAATGTTGATCCGTTTGTAAATTGATGACGTACAATAAGCACATTAAATGATATACCGTCTCCCATAAAGATTATATACAGAGATTACAGGAAATGCTTGTTGCTAGAGACCTGCATAAGTCCAAATTTTGAAGCCCGGCCTGGCCCGGACTTTAAGCTAAGAATTAAAATGCCAGCCCGGCCTGACCTGGACTTAATTATAATTATTGGCGATGTGAAATTAACAATTTAATCATTTTATTTTTATTTAACAAATTACAAAAAAACAATATGTATTTTTTTTTTTTACAATTTTTTAACAAATTATTATTATAATAAACAAACAAAATAATTAATGAAGAGCACTATGTAATACCAAAATGATACAACCTGTTTACAAACAATATGAAATTGAATAGCAACAATAAAATATTTCATTATACAATCAGTGGCGGCTAAATTTTAATTACAAAATTATAAAAAAATCCGGGCTGGTACCTTGAACCCGGACCCGGCCCGGAAAATTCTAAACTTATATCTGCCGGCCCGTACCCGGCCCGTTGCAGGCCTCTAGCTTGTGCAAACTTTTTCAGAATTAGAATAGTTTTTTTCACTATGGCATCCAGTTTAATCGATGGAAAATGTTCATTATATGTTGGACAAAGTTTTTGTTCAACTTTATTTATCTTTGATCGAAATTCTTGCAAAAGCTTACGATCAGATTCAGAGAGTAATCCAGTTTCAATAGGACTCGAAGGCTTTTCATCATTATTTTTTTTTAATCAATTTTACTCAATAGAAACAAAAAAAAAAAAGCAATCAACAAATACAAACCTTTGCTCTTTTTGACTGTTAAGGCGATCAACAGTTGTTTCCAAGGTTTGTCATTCAATGCTCTTTCTTTAGTAAAGCGTTCTTTACGTTGTTCTGCAGTTTCTGATGCTCTTTTTTTTTAATTTTATTTTCACGATCATGGGTGGCGGTGTTTTTCACGTTGATCATGCGTCTCATTTTTCTACTAGTTCATTTTCTACGTGTTCATTATTTAGAGAATAAACCATCTTTTATTCTTTATATTATTTTATAGTCGATCTTGTAAACTTTTTTATTCTGAAAAATTAACAAATTTTCGCATATTTTACAGAGGACGCGATATTACTGAACTATTCACGAGTTTCGAGAACATTCATTTCGACTCGTGATTTATGAGTTTCGTAAATACTCGAATCATGTGTATAATATTCAAATCATTGGACATTTATAATATTGTATCTGACAAATCAATACAATATATGATCATATATGACGGTTATTTAATTTTTAAGTGTTGCTGTTTACCTATTATAGTTGCCGATATTTGAAGATCATTTGCCAGGCTGGCCTAATTATTTTTTTTTTATATATACGAGCCGGAAATCCTTAAACAACTCAATATTCACGCTCGCCCTTGTTATATTTCTTTGCATATATTCCCTTCGAAATCCTTCCTTTAACACCTTCGCGATATTTTCGCTTTCGCCGTTTTAACTTTTTAATTTCGTATATACAAATAATATACACATCTTATTTTTACGTCATACACTACACAAATGTCGATCCTACACCACTCATTTCTGTCTTACCTTAAAACTATACAAAATAGGTTGTCACATTACCGGAGGTTCGGATATAATAAATCCATCGGATTTAAATTTTGAATTTCGAGTTGCAGAAACCAATGATAAAATAATTTATTAATTTACCGTTAATCTAAATAACATCGGATTTAATTTTTTGCCGCATCAAGTTAGCGAGATAAAAAAAGTGGTTTTCGGGAAATTTATTCCCATTTACATGATTTTAATGATATATAAATGAGAAGAATTTTCCTCCGTTTGTT